AAGCAAAAAGATATGGGCTTAAAGTCATCCCTGATGTAATCCAACAGAAATAAGAAAATATTTGGTCAATCCTCCTTCAGTTTGAACACAAGTAATAGTTCTAGTATACATATCTTTAATGACTTGAATATAAGTCACATCAACGTCTTTCTTCTCAAGAACTCTCCAAAGGATATCTCTTGGAACCTTATCGTAAGCTTTTTCTAAATCAATAAAAATCAAATGTAGATTCTCCTTTTTATCTCTAAACTTCTCCATCAAACCTCTCAATAAATGTATAGCTTCCATAGTAGACCTGCCCGGCATAAATCCAAATTGATTATGAGAAATCTTTGTGAAGCGTCTTAACCTATGTTCAATTACCCTCTCCCATAACTTTAAAGTATGCACATCAACTTAATTCCTCTTGTGCATCCGCTTTATTCTTAAAAACGGGGACCAAAATACTCTTCCTCCACTCGGGCATCTTTTTAGTCTTTAAAATAATATTAAAGAGTTTAGTAAGCCAAGAAACTCCCAAATCTCCCAAATATTTCCACACTTCAATTGGGATATCATCAGGTCCTACAGACTTTCCACCCTTGGTTTTCTTTAAAGCCTCCTCAACTTCTTTTTTATTAATGCGACGGTAAAAATGAAATGTTTTATTATTATTCGTGATATTAAGATCACTAAGGTCGATCGTATTTTCAGAAACTTCATTAAAAAGTTTATCAAAGTAACTCACCCACCTATGTTGAATATCTTTTTCTAAGAAAAGTACTTTTTTATTTTCATCTTTAATACACTTTACTTGAATTAAATCTTTACTTTTTTTTGCTCTTTGTTTGGCTAGTTTATACACATATTTTTCACCCTCCTTAGAATATAATCTATTATAAAGATGATTAAAAGTAGAATTTTTAGCGTCACAGATTGTTTATTTAGACTCTCTGTGGGCCGTTTGATATTTATCTCGGTTCTCTAAGCTTTTACATTTAAACGAATTTTTATAACATAACTTCTTATATTTTATCTTTTCTTACACATTATTATTCCACCACCAACTATTTTTATTCATAAAATTTTTTTCTTTTGATTCTCTAAGCACATCTTTTGCTACTTGTTTAATAGTGTTTGTTACTTTATCCCACATAATATTTGCTTCTTCATGAATATCCGAAATTTTAAAATCTTGAATTTTGCTCATAAAAATAATTTTATTTGTCTTTTTAGTTTCTCCATCTAATTCTACGATGATGAGTCCTAGTATTCTTTATTTTGCAACTTTTAATCTTAAAATCTAGAACTAATAAACGATGTTGGGTACTTAAATTCTCACTTGGAATGACCTTACAATCTTTACAATCGTGACGATCTCTTCTTCTCATAAGAAAATAATCAAATTGTGTTTTATTAGATCGCTATTATAAGTAATAAGATGCTCATCTCTTTTATTGAATAAAATATTAGTAATAACAAGACCATGCGCTAAAGCAAAATTTAAAATAGTTCTACCTTCTTCATTAGTTACTCCAAAACCGTAGCCACTATGAGTATTTCTGAAGTCATCTACCACTCCACCGACATGTCCATTTAAATCTGCTCCAATAAAAATTCTTTCTTCAAGAGATATCATCTGTAATAAGTCTTCTAAGTCATTCCAAAATTTATCTTTAGACCCTTAATCTAAACCTACTTGAGGAGCATAAGCACTTAGTATCAATGATAATTTTAAGAGCTATAATTCTATCTCTAGCTCTATTTTTTACAACATTATCTTTCAAACTCTTATCTGTTATTACACCTACACCATTTCTAGTGTGACTCTTACCAGAATACCAAAGTTTAAAACCTAAATTTCAATCTCCTTAGCCTTTTCTCCAACCGACTTAGTTTCTTGAATACATAAGATATTAATTTTCCTATGAATCATAATATCAACTAATTTCATTAATTTAACATTGAGAGTGCCTATATTCCAATATCCTATCCTAATATTAGTTTCATTAGTTTCATGGACTAACTTCTTTACCCGCATTCGACCGTAATGTGGGAACCCTTGCTTATTTAACACTACACTCGGACGCCGGTGTAGCGGCACACTTTTCACTGTATTCAGGCTATTCAGTGCGTCGCTTCTAGGGGACGCCCTAGCACTTACACAATGATCAAAAGCATTCATGTCATGATATAGGAGAAAAGTATGGTAAACAAAAATGTAAAAACAATGAACAGCAATTGAATGAGTACAATCAATCACCAATTGAAATATACAATGTAGCATGCAAGCAAATTATTACCCCACAGCCCATATCCAATGCTGTCCTCAAAAGGCCATTGTGGATGGGAATAAATTGCCCAAGTTTCTCAATATATTGTACAGCTCCATCTGGAAACATAGTGCCGCCACCAGGGAATATGAAGTACGGCCCTTTTTCCTTCATCCAACCTTGATGTCCTTTTCTTTCAGCAAGTTTATCGTAAGGCATGTTGGCATGCCATATCTACATGAAAAGGAATGGTCAGAGGAAGGGTAAACAGATTGTCAAACAAATGGATTTGATCCTGCTATTCCTTTTAATTAAATATGCATCAGTGGAATTAGGTCAAAATGAACTTAGAATATTGGCGGTGGTTAAGATTTTGAAACAATGTGGTCAAAGATAGGTTGTTGTTACAGGTAATTCTATTTTATGAAGAATGTTGTTAAAATATCATATAGGAGATTGAGGTAAGTAGCACAACTAAGAATAGGTGATATGGGCAATACACCGTATCGTCACAACAATATTTCAAATCAGAAAATAGGAATCAAAATTATCAACATAAAGAATGCAAATATATTTTGTAAATTTCTCCATGCATTTGCAAATTGCAAATACATGTCAAAAGACTTGCATTAATATACAACATTAAATACAGTAAAATAGCACATATCAATGGTCACATATATTAATTTGAAGTTTTCATAAGTTGAATGAAAGGATTAAACAAGAGGAAGTATTTACATATCTAAAACCTAAAGTTTGATATTTACATTTATAGCGCATTGGTATTTAAAATTATCATGAAAATGTCTATTTAACTTTTAAGAAGTTACTGATAATGGCATTTGTATATCAATACATTGAGTGGTATATATGAAAATATGAAAGTTTAGGTGTTAGATATGGAAAGGAATTGTGTGCTATTTATGAAAATATACCAGAAAAAAAGGAAGTATACCTAGTAAGGTAGCGGTTAATGGCACTATAAACCATCATAACATGTAAAAACACAAGTGTCACATCTCTCGTATTTTATAATTAGTAATCAATTTAGCTAACTTTATACTTTTTCATATATGTATATATATATACATATATATATAGCTCACATATTGTAGCTATTTTTATGATGCCGAACCCTAATCCTGACATAAAGAAGGGGACGCAGGAGAACCAAACTTATGTGACTTTACTTGTGCAATCTTATGCAATCAAGCCAAAAAATTATTATATTTAAGAGCTTTATAGTGGGTTATCCACTCTCCCCCTACTCTCCATCTTTGATCGTCCCATCTCTTTTTTGTTTCCCTCCATGTAAAATAAGGTTTTGGAGTAACTCAAGAGCAGACAATATTCTCAAAGGTATAGTGAGTATGGATCTATACCATAAAACAAAAGGGATGACTAGAGATAATCAAGAAATGTTGATAGAGAACTAGCTACAGAAGTACCAACTAAGGAGATTTCAATAAATATGAAGAACCAAGAGTTTTCCACTACCAAAAAATTAACTTAAATGGAAGAGGGCCCTAATTAAATGATTCAAGGGACCCTAGACCAGATCCAAAGAACAACTTACAGGGTGCAATTACCTTAAGGCTCCACTAATTCAGTAGTTAGGAGAAGAAGCCCTAGAGCAAGTGCACTTTCATCCACCGTAATGAGAGGTATTACTCAGATTCTAAAGAACAGGACTAGTCCCCTTATCTTCCTGAATTGAGGGTCATGTAAAGAGGAGAAAACTAGCAACACTTAATTTTTTTTGGGAAAGAAATTGCTGAAGCTAAGCAGCCAATTAAGTTCAAGACGCATGCTAAGACTTCTATAAATGTCAAACTGATCCAACCACTCACATTACTTATTTTAAATAATGACCCACTAAAGCATAGGTTGTTCTTCACAACCTTCAAGGAGTCAAGAGAGATTTCATTACCCAATAAGCCAATGTCTAACACCGCCAAAAGATGAGGTAAATGACTGGCAAGCCGCTAAGAAACTTTGTGACGAGAATAAAAATGCCGGAAGTTAAATAAGTATAATCGATTGTGGCTTAAAATGCTATAGCCCAGGGTCTCTAAGAAAGCCCTATTCGTGATACACTCAACCCGCAACAACCGAAAGTCGTGGATAAGTTATTTAAACTTGCCAAGGGCCTGGCCAATGCAGAAGAGTATAACTATGAAATAGAATTTTTGACCACAAGTCAACAATGAGTCTTGACTGGATGAGAAAATGGTGGCAATTTCCCAAGGACCAACATAATCAACAAAAATTTCTAATATTAAGAGAAACTACTCATCCATGGCCCTAAAAACAGTATTATCACCCATCATGACCACGCCACTAGCCAAGACAAGCTAAGCATGAAAGGCACGATAAAGAAGGATGAAGAAGAAAGAAGACAATGTTACAGCTGCCAAATCACCAATTCCCTCCCATCACTCAGCTACAAATATCCATAGCCAAGTTCGTTGAGATCATCTAAAACAAAAAAAAATACTTTAAATTCCTATCAACCATGAGGAAAGCCCTCATCTAATGAATGTGACCACATATTATGCTTTCCATCACAATTATGATCACGATATTGAGGATCGTTGCCACTTCAGAAAACATGTGGAGGAACACATTAGAGCTAAGAAGCTAGAAGAGTTAGTGCTTACTAACTTAGGTTGAAGGAAGTGTAAAGGGCCAACAGAGAAATAACAAAATGAAACCATTCCAGCAGGCGCAATTTACATATTTGAAGTATTATCCAACAATTTAGGCCGATTTGAAGAAGCCTCTAGACTAAAATAACTTAATTCCGAAGATGTGAACTCGCCTACAACCTCACAAGCAACAACATGGGAAGTCATTTTGATTACTTTCTCTAGAACCGATAGGGCATTAAACAACAATCCTTATAATGAAGCCATTGTGATAACTATGTTCATAGCTAACTAACAGATTGGTAACATATTCATAGGCATTAGTAGGACAATAGGAGTTATCTTGAAAAGCATCTATGAGGAAATGGCAAAATATGTGGCCTTTATATGATACTTTTAAAGAAAAACAAAAGATCAAATGAATGATTACTTCACTAGTAACCTGGGGAATGGAGAGTGCCAATATAAAGTAATAGTCAATGGCATTAAAATTGAAAACCCATACATACATGATTTTGGCCGCCACCTATTCAACGACATCTATGCAAGTTCCTCCACATACCATACTGCCACGAAATTTTGGCTGGAGATTATAGAATGACAATGAGAAGCAACTTGCTACAAACAAGAAATTGTTACTAGAAAGTTGTGAGAAACGTATAAGTTTAGAAGTTTAAATCTCAACGAGTAGTATGTCTCTATCATTTTCTTGTTCTTTTTTGCAATCGCCTTTTAAAGGGAAAAGGGAATCTAGAAACTATATATACATATTAAATAGTTTAAGAGTAAACTCGCCAATCGAGCACGGGATAAATTCACGAGTTGAGTTCTAGGTTGATTTATCAAGCCAAACTCAAAGATAGACTCACTAATTGTTTCATAGGAGAACTCAACAGTAAGGTTCAAAATAGGCCTACATAATGGGAAAAAAGAGAACTCTCTGATCATGTTTATAATAAACACGTTCACCAAGCTCATAGCAAACTTAGGTCAATCGATCTCAGCCGCAATCATCCAAGCCCAAGAGCTATTCGATAAGTTCTATCAGAACAAATACCTTCCTCTCTACCGGTCGGTTGACCAATTTGAATTCTCAGGCAACACACAACTTATATGTTATAGTAAATAGCCTGTGGCCTTTGCAATACATCATGTATATAAACCATTTTATAACTTTCTTGGTAGTGCTCAACACCAAACCCCACGTACAAAAAGGAGATCGAGGAAAGTGTTAAGGATATAAATTTTGATTAAGCAATCTTGTGTAATCTAGCCAAAAATTAGTGTACTTTTGAGCTTTATATTTGAATTGCCTACTCTTTTCTACAATCTTCTCTGATCTACTCCCAATTCTCCTGTATTTTTTTCTATGCCAAGTAAGATTTGGGCATAACCCACAAAGAAACAAATCAGAATTCAAATGAAAATTTTTTAAATAAAAAAGAATAATTTCATTAGGTCGTCATTAATCCTAAAGCATTGAGCTTGAACTTGTTAGAATTGCTAATGTTTCATATGCACTTAAGAAGAACATTACCTTCTAAAAGCAACATGTTCCAACTCGCAAGCATGAGGCTTTCAATGATGTTTAAAATTATCACACTAAAACCAATATTCTTTCTTCCAACAACTTATTAAATGATAAAGAAAAATTAAAACTTTGAATTTATTTGATTTCTAAATTATGATTTTTTTTAACTAATTTAGTGATTGATTGAAACAAAAATTATAAACTAATTTTTTTTGGATTTGAAATATTATAAAACTTTTATTTTTCACTGTATTAGAAAATCATAACATATAACTTCAAATTCATGCCGTGCTTGCTCTCAATTCCCGCTCCCAGAATCCCACCGCCTTAAGCAATTCAAATGCAATCTACCACTAGGCATCACGGTGTTCTCTCTTATACTTATATCAACACATTTGATGTGTAGTACACAAAATATTTAATGCATTATATACACACACATAAATATATGCATACGTACATACATAGACACAAAGTTACTTCTATTTTTAAATACATATTTTCTAAAAATATATGTATTTCAATTAATTTATATTTCAACATGTATTTAGAAAACATAGAACAACTGAATTGTAATTCTTCTTTCTGTTATTCTAATAATCATATTTTTCCTATTAATAATTATATCAACAATAATGATTATGTGGATCTCATCTTGAATTTCTAGGATGATGATATTAAAAACGTCTTTGTTTTCTATTGGTTCTGATTAAGTGTCTAGTTCGGATGGTTTTACTTCTAAATTCTTTAAAATACTTGAGATTTCACTAGATTGGACTGTATTTCTATTGTTAGACATTTTTTAAATATGTTAAGTTTCCTTCAAGAGTTAAACATAATGCTATTACTATAATCCCTAAAAATAGAGAGGTTAAATCTTTCATTGATTATAGACTCATTTCTCCTTGTAACACGATTTAAAAGGTTATTGCCATTTTGCTTGTTGTCGTCTTAAATTTATTCTTCCTAGAATTATTCACCCAACTCAAGCTATTTTTAAAAAAAGGACACGATATTGGTGATAATGTCATTTTAGCTAATCAATTTCTTTATGGTTTCAATTCCTCCAATGTTGCTAAGAAATTTTGTGATAAAATTGATTTAACAAAAGCTTTTGATAAGGCTAATAGGAATTTTCTTTATAATCGTCTGTATTGTTAAGGCCTTCCTATTACTTTTATTAATTGGATTATAGCTTGTATTGATGTTTTTAATTCACTATCATTATCAATGGTGATATGTGATGTTACTTTTTTTCCTCTTTTGGGCTTCATCGAGGTTGCTCTCTATCTCCTTATCTATTTGTTATTGTTATGTATGCATTATATTTGATTTTTTATTATGGTCAAAATTATAATCATGATAGATTTACTCATTTAATTTATGTTGATGATTTACTCTTTTTTAATAAAGTTGGTATTGAGACAATTATGCATTTTGTTTCTAAGCTTGATATTTTTAGTAAAATTTCTAATCTTCAAACTAATTTTTTTAAACATGCTATTTGTTTTTCTAATTCGGTTGGTCATTTAACCCAACTTCATCTTTGTCCTATTGTTGGTATTAGTACAAAACCTCTTCCTTGGACTTACCTTGGAGTTAATATTAAACTCTCTAAGCTAGTTGCATTTGATTGTCGAATTCTCTTGGATTAGCTTATTTCCTCTTCGACCAGTTGGAAGCAAAAACTTTTATCTTCTATGGGTAGAGTTCAATTAATTAAATTTACTACTTAGAAGTATTCATATTATTGATTTCGCTCTTCTATTTTACCTAAGGGTCTTAAGAAGAAAATTTTTTCCCTGATTAATAAATTTATTAATTATAACAGTAATAATAAGAAAATGCATGTTATTAGGTGGAACAAAATTACTTTACCTAAAGACAATACTTAACTTGGTTTACCTTTTGTAGATGATATTAATTTTATGTACAAAGCTAAAAATATTTGAAAAATTTTTAATTTCAGTTCTTTCATGACTAATTGGTGCTTAAATCATTAAGGCTCCATTTGGTATAAAAGAATTCATTCTACGATGTTTTGTAAAGATATTGATAAAGTTGCTTTGAAAATGAAATCTTCTCTAACTTTTCATGTTAAATCTAATAGTAATCTGTTTTTCTTTTAAGATCCATGACTTTCAGAATCTTTTGTTAATAATCATTCTGGGTAATCTATTTTTTATTGGTTTAATCTTGATAAAAATGTTAAACTTCATGAAGTTATTTATAATAATAATACTTGGAATTTAATTACTAACATTTCTGCTCCTATTCAGTTTATTTAGGATATTCATAGCACTCCTATCAGTAATGGTATAACTTACCTTTGAAAGAATAAGAATTGTTATTCTCATAAAGATATTTATTGCTTTATGAAAGTTTACCTTGTGTGGATTAGTTTAAACTTATTTAGTTTAAGAATTACTTTATTAAATTTTCTATTCATTGTTGGAAAATTATTCACACTGGCCTTAAAACTTATGACAATCTAATTAATAGAGGCATTTATACTAATTCTACATTCTTTTTATGTTATTTTGGAATTAAAACCCATGACCTCCTATTTTTTCAATGTCATTTTTCTTATTATATTTTTAATAAATGCATTCTGAATGGTTATTATTTTATTCTTCCTAATATTATTTTTTAGATTCTCTATCATTCTAAAAATAATATTGGTAAAATTAATCAGAGGTTTCGTATGTTAGTTATTCAAGTCTTTGCTTATAGCATATGATTTGAAAGAAATAATAATTTTTTTAAGAATTCTTCCACCTCTGTTGAGATTTTTATCATTAATATTCTTTGAATGGTTAAAGAGAAAAATAGGAGATTAAGGTTTATTTGAGATATTCATATTGAGATAAGAGTTTTTTTTCTTTTTTTTTTAAGTTGTTGGCTTAGTTTTTGGTTTTTTTCCTTTTTTGTGGTTCTTGTTGTTTTTATTGCTTGTGTTGGTTCTCTATTATTGTTTATTGATTTTTAGGTTTTTGAGAGGTTGTTTGTTTCGGGTTTTTTGGTTGTTAGAGTCTAGTTTCTTTGTGACTTTGTAATGTTTTGTCTTTCTATTTGTTTATTATTTTTTTGGATTTTTTATTAATAAGTTGATTACTACATTTGGATCTTTTGTTTTTGTGATTGTTTTTAGTATTTGTGATGATGTACCTATTCCATTCTATGAGTTTTAATCATTCTTTTAATTTTTATCCCCAATAACTTGAATACCTTGTTTACTTCATTAAACTTGGATAGAATTCATTTTTAACCATTTACTCAAGTTCATATTGTATTTGAGTATTCATTTGGGGTATTATTTGATTATCTAGAGGGTGATTTGTCGTTGTTTTTTCTTCTTTCTCAGATATTATTTCATAGAATTAGGATGGAACCTCTTGGTTTAGTTTGGTTGAGCTTCTATTTCCTCCGTGGTTTTGGTTTTGATTAGTTTGGAAGTTTCTTGTTGCTTCAAACCATTTAATTTGTTTTGGTTTTAATGACTTTGGAAGTTGTTTTGATATGTTTTTGTTGTCCTGCTTCTTTTTTTATGATCTTTTGGATATTTTATTGATAAGTAGGTTACTACATTTGGATCTTTTGTTTTTGTCGTCGTTTTTGGTATTTGCTATGATGTATTAGTTCCTTTCTATGAGTTTTTAACCATTTTTTTATCCCAAAGACCATGAATATTATGTTTGCCTCATAAAATCTAGATCGAATTCGTTTTAACCATTTAATGAAGTTCATATTGTATTTGTGTTATTCATTTGGGGTGTTATTTGTTTATCTAGAGAGTGATATGTTGTTGCATTATCTTCTTTCTGAAATTTTATTTCATAGAATTTGGATGGAGCTACCTAGTCTAGGTTTCGGGTTTAGTTGAGCTTCTATTTCTCCTTTGTTTTGATGAGTTTGGAGGTTGCTTGTTGCTTGTTGTTTCATGTTGTCATGTTCCTCTGTGAGGAGGTGTTGTTAAGTTGGTTTTGATAATTGTTGGCTTTTTTCTTGTTGGTTATTCAACCGAGCTTGTTTTTCTTAATGTGATGATGGATTCCATTTTAATTTTTGGTTAGTTGTTAGAATAGAGAGAGTCATCTTAGATGGATTCCATTTTAATTTTTGGTTAGTTGTTAGATTAGAGAGAGTCATCTTAGATGGTTTGGACACATTAAACATCAACCATCTGATGATCCGGTTAGGAGAGTAGACGTTTTAGAATCGTCTTATGTTAAGAAAAGCAAAGGTAGACCTAAAATGACTCAAACTTATTGTATAAAAAATGATCTTAATCTATTAGAATTAAATGAAAATATTACACTCAATAAGACGCAATGGAGTAAAAGGATTCATGTAGCCGACCCACTTAATGGGAGAAAGGCTTGGTATTGTTATTGTTGTTACTGTTGAGATAGGTGGATGGTTGCTACTTGTTGATTAATCTATATGGAGATTGCTTTGTTTCTGCTATGCATGGTGGCTGATGGCTACTTCTTCCTGATTTTGTTGGTGTTTGGTGGTCGATGGCTTCTTTTGCTGATCTCTGTGTTGAGGTTGCTTCTCTCATTCTTTTTGTTAAGGATTCATTGTTGTTCTTGTTATTGGTTGTTATTCTTTAGGGTTTTTATTTTTGTTTGACCATTAGTTCTGTTTTTAGGTGATGTTGTGTTGTGTTTGGAGGTTTTATTTGTTCTATGCTTTGGATGTCTAGGTGTGGATAGTTGTGTTGTAAGCTCTTTTTTATTCTCTTCTTTTTCAATGAAGTTGGGTACGGCCCTCATTTTTTCCTGTTTTCGAAATTGAAAAGAATGCGATCACTACCCGAATCTCAGTCCCGTAAATTACTTGAGAACCATACCAGAAATTAGGAAAGAAATCAAAAAGAGAAGCAGTAAGGACCTTGTGAAGACTCTCCGGCCATGGCACCGGCAATCGGTATCCATCTGGTGGAGGAACCAGACAAAGGGGCGCCTCCCCCGGCGGCGGGCACTGCCGCTCACGGTAGAAATTCATCTTCCTACTGAGCTGGCTACTCCGCCTGGGGTCCTCACATGGCATGTTGTCCACTTCCTCCGCTGAGCAAGCTCGCAACACCGGCTCCATTGACTCAACAAGATTCTGCCGACCACGATAGTTGGCCGGGAGGTCGAAGACGGCAAGGATCCGCTGGCGCAGGCGAGGGTCGGATGCAGATGAGCGAGCTAGGGCACGGCGGCCGGCGGCGGCGAGCGGGTCACCGAGTGAGGTGAAGACGAGGAGGATGAAAATGAAAACGGCAGCAACTAGTGTGAAAGAGAAGAGATCCAACAGCGTCCATGGCCGTCCCGAACTGCCGCCGCTGCGTCGTGACGGCGGCAAGTTAACGAGCCCCATTTCCCTGCACAGAACGGATGCTAGCCTGTGGGGAGGGGGGAAGAAGAGGTCTCAAACTGAAGTAATATTCATCGAGCGATATCGGATCTGCGTTCCTTCTCTTCACTTCCTATGAGAGATGGTGAGGAAAGAGATCCGGCTGTTGCTGGGCAAAGAGACGGATGATGAGAGAAAAAAGGGGAGGGAAATCGGGAGTGCGGAAATTGGCGGCGCAACCTCCGATGATTGGAGCTCCTCAGGCTGTCAAGCCTCCGCACTTGAGCCGTAGTGGCAGTCGCTACTTTTGGTTGTGTCGGTGCGCTCATTGATTCAGCTGTTTTAGGGTGCCTAGCAGTGAGTCATAATTTGATATACATTCAATGTTGAAAATTTGGTAGAAATTCATAACTATCCTTTGAAAAAATTAGTGATAAGCATCTTTGTGTTTCAATAGAAAAATAAATGAAATAAATGCAGATATACTGAGATCAATAACAAAATCAGATATCAGAATAACGGATGCATTTAATTTCATGGCTACAAAACTTGGAGGGGTAGAAAATTTGGAATGTACGAAGAAATATATCTTCAATTTTATTCAAATAGGCAGAAGAGATAGAATTTAACAAGATGATGTCAATTTGTTGTTGCAATTGTTCATGGAGAGGCAAGCTGAGGATATCATGTTTATGTGGGACTTCCAAACTTGTGAGGACGGCAGAGCGATGAGATTTTTTTTTAGTGATGAGTTGTCCAAACTTAATTATGATTGTTTTGAAGATGACATATTTTTTTATACAAGCTACATACTAAATAAGTATAATTTATATTATGCTCTTTTTTTTGGGTTAACCACCATTGGCAAAATGTTCTCTTTGGATTTGATTTTTTGTTAGACGAGACGATTGATTCTTTCAAGTAATTATTCAAAGCATTCTCTCGTATAATGGATGGCAAGCATCCAATCATAATTTTTACTGACCAGGATCAAACGATGACAAGAGTTATTGAATATTGTCTCCCACATACGCGGCATAGATTATGCAGTGGCATATTTATAAGAAAATTCCTTCGAAGATGCATTGTGTGATTGGTATCAATAGTACAAGCAACATTTTTTATAAATGCATGAGCAAGTGTGATTCTGAAGATGAGTTTGAAAAGACTTGGTCTCTAATGATTGAGTAAGGAAACATCACTGCAACGTGTAGTTAGATGATTTGTACAATAGAAGACATAAGTGGTTAACATCTTTCAATAAAGAAATTTTTGGAACGAGAATCCTATCAACACAAAAAAGTGAGTCCACAAATAAGCCCACATGCTCTTAGGCCGATTGTTTTGTAGGTCTTGAAAATGTTATGAAATCTTATAAAAGAAATGAGAAGTATTAAGACTTCAAAAAGTGCTCAGCGTGTTATTGCGCCCGTGGTTAAAACCAGCTCGGTGTTGAGGCATGCTGCTTCATTTTATACAAGGAAGCTCTACGCAATGTTTGAGGGAGAGTTATTGCATGGGTCACGTGGACTTCTTGTCGAATTCTCTGTAGAAAATGATTTAGAATATTATGTAAAGAATTTGGACGATCAAAGGACAGACAAACCCTGGATTGTTAATTTTGACAAGATTAATTGTGATATCACGTGCAACTATAAGAAATTTGAGATGATGGGGTTTTTGTGTGTTCACTTTCTACGTGTTCTTAATTTGATAAATATAACAAAAATTCCTAACAACATTTATTATTGATATGGTCTGTGCATGTAAAGAGGGATATCTATAACAATTTTAGATACAAACATCTCAAGGAGTCTCAATTGTCCAATGAATCTTTAAATGGCCTTCTATTTTGCTCGCACGCTCAAAAGTTTGCATACCAACTTAATAACAAAGCACAAGAAAATGAATTGGTCGATCAATGTATGATGGAATCATTTAAAAAATTATTTATAGATCTTGAAGAAATATTAGGTGGGAAAGCACCTTAGGCATGCAAAAAAAACAAAAAAAAAAGGAAATCACTTAATCGAGAAAGCAATTTGAATGACCCAGTGAATATAAGGCCAAAATGAATATCTACTTATTGGTTAAAAGGGTACTGGGAGAAAAACAAGAGAGTAAAAAAATATATATTTTTATAGTCAAAAATTGTTTTTTCTCTATGTAACGCTAAATTTCTCTAACTTAAATCATAGCATACAGGAAAAGAGCAGAAAGCCTCAACAAGCTAAGAACAACTTAACTCACGTGATACAAATTTTTCTGGAATATCAAATTGTCTCAGTTAGGTATGTAACTGTGGTTCAATACTATTACACGTTAATTAGAATATGTTTCTAAATGTTAATTTGTAATTATTCCTAAAAAGCGGGAATACTTTACCCCGCAACCAACACAAACATACATTGAACTATTGATGCAAACCACATCATCGTTATTGGCATCATTAAATCTATCGAAACAATCTAAAACTTCTTCTTAATGAAAATGTTATCAATGTTATGAATGGAGTTCTTCGTATCTGATCTTTCACACTTAAATGAATCACAAACTAACTCAATCTCGTTACTTCTAAGATCACAAACAACCTTGGAGTTGACTCTAGTAAGAAATGAACTCTCTCTTTCCAAAAACCTACATTACTTCTGAGCAGTTTTTCAGCTTCTTCATTGATCCTGAAAAAGCTTTCAATGAGTCATTCAATAACACAATCTCATTTGGTTCTAATATCATCAACGCACCTAGAGTTCATTATAGCTACCTAAGAACTCTCCATTATAGGAGTGTTATTAATATGCATTCGTATGTTATTCACATATTATTCGAGTATTACATAATTTTATTATTGTATTATGTTGTATTATTAGGGTATTATTCGAGTTTTATTGATGTTCTATTCATCTGTTATAGTGATTTTATTAGTGTTACTAATGTATTATTTCTATGTTATTGATGTATTATTCACGTGCTGTTGTGGTATTATTTGAGTGTTACTAATGTGATATGCAACTGTTACTCAAGGTGATGCAATGTGTATTGGTGTGTCGTAGATAGCAGTGTTATCACGATGTTAAGGTGGTGTTATCTTGGTATTATTGATGTATTATTCTAGTATTATTTGAGTGTTACTTGAAGTAACCCGCTGTGTAATTCTTGCTTTCGGCAACGGTGCTATGGCGTTGTTATTATAGTGTTATTTCAGTGCAATCACCGCAGAAATCACACAAATAACACAAGTTCCACTAATAACAGTGGGTTGTATTTACTTAATTACACAACTTTCCTCCTCAGCAAAATAGACATTATTTAAAATTAGTTTTTAGGATTTTATGAACTCTGCAAAAGTCTAAATTTTGTTTCTCTCTGTTCACTTCTCGTACGTTCGCCAGTAAATAGGAATTATCTTTCAAGTAGAGCAAAATCTAAGCCTCTTTTAATGAATAATAACACCATGAATCGTACTCAGCAATTTTCTAACTTCACTCATTGAATCTCCTGACAAAAATACTGCAAGAACAACACTAATAGCACCAAAATGTTCTATTACTGTATTATGCATGTATTATAAGGGTATTTTTTAAGTTTTATTGATGTATTGTTCGTGTGTTAGTGTGGTTTTATTGGAGTGTTATTAATGAGTTATTCTTGTGTTATTGATGTATTATTGAAGAATTATTGTAGTATTATTTGAGTGTTACTGTTGTGCTATGCGAGTGTTGCTCAAGATGACGCGATGTGTATTAGCGTGTTGTAGGCGGCGGTGTTAAGTTGGTATTATTGATGTATTATTTGAGTATTATTTAAGTGTTAATTGAAGTATTCTGTCGTGTAATGTGTGCTTTTGGCAGCGGTGTTATAGCGTTGTTATTGTGATATTATTTTAGTATGATACACCACAAAAAACACACAAATAACACAAATTCTGCCAATAAAAGTGGGTTGTATTTAATTAATAACACAACTATCCTTCTCAGCATAATGGTTATTATTTATGAACATTTTTTAAGATTTTATGGACTCTATAAAAGTCCAAATTTTGTTTCTCTCCGTTCACTTCCCGTACTCTATCTTTCTCCAGTACATAAGGAATGTCCTCGAAGTAGAGCAGAAACTAAGCCTCTTTTAATGAATATTCACACCATGAATCGAACCCAACAATTTTCTAACTTCACACATAGAATCTCCTGCCAAAAACACCGCAAGAACAACACTAATAGCACAAAAATGTTCTATTATTGTTTTTTGCTTGTATTATAAGGGAATTTTTTGAGTGTTATTGATGTATTGTTCGTGTGTTAGTGTGGTTTTATTGGAGTGTTATTAATGTGTTATTCATGTGTTATTATTGCATTATTCAAGTGTTATTATAGTATTATTTAAGTGTTACTGATGTGTTAAGCGATTGTTACTTGGGGTGACGTGATGTGTATTGGTGTGTTGTAGGCGGCGGTGTTATTGCGGTGTTAAGGTGGTGTTGTCTTGGTATTATTAATGTATTATTTGAGTATTACTTGGAAGAACCCGCCGTGTAATGTTTTTTTGGGCGGCGGAGTTATGACATTGTTATTGTGGCGTTATTTTAGTGCAATCGTCGTGAAAAACACACAAATGACACAAGTTCTGAAATGTTCTATTATTGTATAATGTCTGTATTATTAGGGTATTATTCGAGTTTTATTGATGTATTATAAGTGTGTTGTTGTGGTTTTATCAAGTTTAATGTATTATTTGAGTATTATTTGAGTGTTACTTGAAAGAACCCGCCGTGTAATGCCTTTTTGGGCGGCAGAGTTATGACATTGTTCTTGTGGTGTTATTTTAGTGCAATCGCCGTGAAAAACACACAAATGACACAAGTTCTGAAAATGTTCTATTATTGTATAATGTCTGTATTATTAGGGTATTATTCGAGTTTTATTGATGTATTATTAGTGTGTTGTTGCGATTTTATTAGAGTATTATTAATGTGTTATTTTTATGTAATTGATGTATTATTTAGGTGTTATTATGGTTTTATTAATTGTTACTAATGTGTTATCTGAGTGTTATTAGAGTATCAACTAATAAAAAGCTATGGCGGTGGTATTGTAGTGTTATATGAGTGTTATCAAGAATAAAACACACAAATATCCCAATGCCATGAATAAAATTTGAATTGTATGTACATAATATTTTTAGTTGTTCAAGTAATAATGTAATATTAATATATAACTATAAAATTTTCAAACATTTAGTCCACATACATATTGGATATCAACTAATAAAAAGATTGGTAAATGTCTCACATATACACTTAATTCAATAATCAATTGAATGCATTCCATCATAATTTAA